GGGGGGGGGGGGGGGGGGGGAGTCAGTGCGGGCTACGCTACACGGGTCAAAACCGTCGTGACTACGTCATGTGACAATAAGGAAGTGATAGTATCGGTTCTGTATCTGAAACAAACTAATGGTGATACTATAGTCGCGCGGCCACTGTCCTGTCCCGAGCAAATACATCCTTAATCCAGTTTTGCACTGGTTAATACTACTGAGTAAATACAGAAATATATGTTGCCATTCAGTTGTCTGGTGTTCTGTTTAAAGCTCGAACAGGTGAAAAACAGACAAAGATTTATTTTTGTATTACTACGCTAAGAAAGAAGAAGAAAAACAGCTTTAAGCATTTATTCAGTGTCTGACAGTTGCTATAATGGATCAATATTCATTCGTGAAAGTCATTGGCGGAGGATCTTTTGGTCGAGCTCTTTTGGTTCAACCTATAAACGAAGAGCAAAATTATGTTATGAAGGAAATACGACTGCCAAAGGTAATAAAAGCTCTGGGTGAAATAAATTACAGTCTATATTAATCATACTTATAAAATGCATGAAAGAGTTCCTGTGCTGATTCATAGGCTGATTTTGGGATAAGAAACAGCAGAAGAGAAGCTGTGCTTCTGTCCAGAATGAAGCATCCAAACATTGTGGCATTCAAAGACTCATTTGAAGGTTTGTCAGGGTGATTTATATACTGTAAATGCCTCAGATTTCATAAGATCAAAAGTCAAAAACATAATGGATCCTCTCTTTTCAGCTGACGGTCATCTGTACATTGTGATGGAGTTCTGCAGTGGTGGAGATCTTCTTCAAAAGATACGGCAGCAAAAAAATGCCCTGTTCTCTGAGGACGTGGTATGACAAAGATGATAGTCCTGTTCTCAAATTAATTCTTAAAATTAAACAGGTTTATAATTTTTCATATATTATACATGGTACTTGAAAGTTGTGTAGCACAAAACACAAGCATCTGTCTGGCACAGTTGTTAATATACATTTTATCTTTGTAATGAGTGCTAACATAAACTTGATAGTAAGTTTGGGTTATCAAGAATAAGGAGGTACTGTGTTTGGTTATTTTTATGCAGTTTATACACCGTTGTCATCTCTTTGTTGTAGATCCTGAAGTGGTTTGCACAGATGTGTCTAGGCACCAAACACATTCACGACAAGAGAGTACTTCACAGGGATTTAAAATCAAAGGTACTTGTTATTGTGTCTGGTGACTTTTTTTCCTTATTTTAAAAACATTTATTATTTATTTATTTTGCAGGGGGAAAATTAAGTATTAAGAAATGAAGCCCAAAATTATTTGCTTGCACATACATTTTCAGGGCAACTATTCTACCCTGCAAAGGCAAAACAGTACTGTCACTACACCAACCACATCAATGTTTGATGGGATGACGTGGCCATTTTTTGTATAGATCCATTGTCTCATTAAAAATGCATAACAATGACTTACAACAATTCTATGATAGGCATGTTTTTAATTTCAATTTTTTGTTTAATTCATTTTCTAGGGTATAAAGTAAAAACTTTCAGTGTGATACAACTGTCCTGGGGTCTGATTTATAAAACTCTCCGTAGATTTCATCCTAAAAGTGTACGTATGCACAAAAGCTAGATTTTGCGTATGCCAGAACCTGCGCAAAAATCCCTTTATAAATCCCAGTCGGGGACGATTGTGCGTACGTGCATCTGCACCCCGACTCCTCCCCGAAATCACCATATATGGAGCTTACAACGCCTAGTTTTACTGTGCATAACCTCATCTGCATATCATTTCCATGCATATTCCCATCCACGTGACAAGGTACAACACATTATGGAAATATGAGATACGGACTATAAATGCCATTTGTGCCATACACATTAATTTTTATTGCTAAAAAGCATCCAGTATCCTTGTTATGTTTTAGCATAAATATATCAAAATCTATAAAAGGTTAGTGTCTTTTCTCATAACATGTGATCTGCAGTTTCATTTAAAGATTAATTATTGTGCAAATAGCACTCCTCGCTGGCATTAAAACATAGCATGCCACAGGAAAAGTTATCAAGTCTGTTTTTATAAATCCCACCTTTTGCGTAGGAAGTGGCGTACGCCTCTTTCAGGACATGTTTTGTGCGTACGCAACGGTTTATAAATGAGGCCCCTGATTTTGATCTTTGCTCTCAAAATGTATAGTTACTGTGTTTGGCCTTGGTTAGGCCAGTGTTATCAGTTCACCATACCATCACCATTTGATTGCTGTCAAAGTTGTCAATCAAGTAGAAGCACCACCCTTGAACCTCTTGTGAATTAATGGAGGATTTTATTTAATGCATAAAAATCAGTGCTAGTTTCCTTCTTATGTTCATTGCAGAATATTTTCTTGACCGACAGTGGAACTGTGAAGGTGGGGGATTTTGGTTCAGCTTGTTCTCTATACAGGTATTCAGCAATTTTCTTTAATTTTATTTTGGTGTTTACAATTCTGTGCACAAATATAGTCATTCAAATAATTTGATATGTATTTCTTCAAGTGCAAAAGCATATGCTCAGACATATGTGGGTACTCCATATTATGTGTCTCCAGAAATATGGGACAACAAACCGTACAATAATAAAAGGTACAACTTTCCTGATATTACAGTAATTCCCTCAGTTTGACACCAGCTTTACATTTCAGATTACATTTGTACTAATATGCATGTATATTACAGTGATGTCTGGTCTCTTGGCTGTGTCTTGTATGAACTTTGCACACTCCAGCACCCGGTATTTTCCTCTTAACATCCTTAAGTTGTATAGTAACAATGGCTTTTACATCAAACAATGTAAAATGTTAGAGTTGCATTGCTGTTACTGTGTGTTTTGGATGTTAAGGATACCTGTCCTAACATTTTCCTGTCTTCGTTAACTGTCAAACTTCTCTTCATTAGTTTCAGTCACGTAGCTGGAAGAGTCTGATCTTGAAGGTGTGTCGTGGGGCATATGCACCTTTACCCAGTCACTTCTCCTACGAGCTGCACTACCTCATCAAACACATGTTCAAGACTAACCCTGGAGACAGACCCTCAGTACACACAATCCTCAGCTCTCACCGTGTGTCTCAACTGCTGCATAAACACCTGGTGCCAGAGGTACATCAGCTCATTCTTCAATGAAATTATTTTAAAAATACATAGTCTTGACCAGCCACGTCAATATTTGATGGAGGGATGCAGGAGGAAATTGATAATGAAATCAGATTTATTTATTATTTTCATTATAGCATCATTTTGGCTAAAACTCTATAACTATTTCATTAAAATAATACATTAGAATACACTTCGTATGTACAGTGACTTCAATACAACTCCCCTATTATGATATTGTTTTTAAGTTCTAAATTAAAATTTATTTTTATTTATTTATTCTTGGAAGTTGGACAACTGTCCTGATATCATAATGAATTAAAAAAAATTTTTTAAATAATTAAATTCTTGAAAATAAAACCTTATTATTTTGGCACATAATATTGTATATTTTATTACTTTCATAATTATAAAAAAATGCTACACTGCTAAGTAATATTTAACAATAAATCAAAGCCATGTGGTGCAGCCAAAAGGCAGAAATATGCAGGGGGAAAAGAATATACAACAGGAAATTATATAATCAAGAGGATCCCCATGACTGTGTGTGTCAAGGCCAATAAGTATTTTCAGATCATCTGACCTATTGACAAGAAAAGGTTAAATCGGGTAAAATGGCATGTGGTGCAACTCCCCCTAAAAACTGATGATATTTAAGAATTGGCAATTCAAGATATTTGTAAAGAACTTGTATTTACAGTGGCATGCGAAAGTTTGGGAACCCCTTGCAGAATCTGTGAAAATGTGAATCATTTTAACAAAATAAGAGAGATCATACAAAATGTTATTTTTTATTTAGTACTGTCCTGAGTAAGATCTTTTACATAAAATATGTTTACATTTAGTCCACAAGAAAAAATAGCTGAAATGATTAAAATAACCCCATTCAAAAGTTTAGGATTCCTTGGTTATTAGAAAGTTTGAGGGACTCAAACAAAACTATTAAAAAAGGTTCAAACATTCACTGATGCTCCAGAAGGAAACATGATGCATTAAGATCGGGGGGGGGGAAACTTTTTGAATTTGAAGATCAATCTAAATTGTACTTAATTTGTCTTCCGGGAAACATGCAAGTATCTTCTGTTGCTCTTAATGCATAGTGTTTCCTTCTGGAGCATCAGTGAATGTTTGAACCTTTTTTTAATAAATGTGTTTGAGTACCTCAATTGTCCTCAGTGTGAAAAGATGGATCTCAAAATCATACAGTCACTGCTGGAAAGGGTTCAAATATGCAAAAGATGCTGGAAAACTGAAGAATATGCAGGACCTGGAGGATTTTTCTGAGGAACAGTGCTCAGTTTAACTGTTCAGGACAAACAAGGGGCTCATGAACAACGATCACAAAACAAAACAAAAAAACAGTCGTGGATCACCCAGGTAACCACACACAGTATTAAGAACCAAGGGTTCCCAAACTTTTGAATGGGGTTATTTTAATAATTTCAGCTATTTTTTTTCTTGTGGACTAACTGTAAACATCTGGTATGTAAAATATCTTACTCAGGACAGTACTAAATAAAAAATAACATGCATTTTGTATGATCTCTCTTATTTTGTTAAAATGATT